CACACACACACATAAAGGCAAACTAACATGAAGTGTGTAACAGTGAACAGAACTGCAGGACCGCTGCTGCTCAACAGAGACATCAACACATACTGCAAGTTCCTCTGGAGGAACTCCAGCAGCATCAATTACAACAGGTGTGTTTACTACGTGTGTGTGTGTGTGTGTGTGTGTGTGTGTGTGTACTTGTTTTTGTTACATTTTTAGGACCGTTTCTGGTGTACACACCTACCTTGTTATGACCAGTTGTTCTTATGGAGACCAAAAACTGGTCTCAATATACAGGTAGTGGAACTCCATTTTTGGGTTGGGGTGTTAGGCTATAACCAATGGAAATGAATGGAATTAATGAATGTCCTAATAAGGATAGAAATACAAACTTGTTTATACTGTATGTGTGGCTCAGAAACACACACAACTCTGGATTTAAAATCAGATCAGTCTGTATAATTCATTACTATATTTTATATGTTGACATTAAAGCATGAGAATCCCTCAAATTTGAAACCTTTTGTGATTAAAATAGTAATTATTTCTCCTAACTTTCTAAAAAAAGCTAACCATCCTGTGTTACCTTTGGATCAAAAAGTCTTCTGAGGCCTCATTTTTAAAACCAACATGTTTGGGGTCATTTGGATCCAAGTGCACCCTGATGTGTTTAAATTTAAAATAATGAGCTGGTTTGTCGTTACCTCCCATTTTTCACTCATTTCTTTCATATCACAGGTGTGGAAGAGCCAACAAAAATTACAGAACTGAGACTTGTCTGGATGTGACGGTAAATATCACCAGTTTTTTTTTTTACTCTGTGAAAAATTTACTGTTCCCTCACATTACTGTAGCAAGGTATTTTAACTGAACCTGTAACCAACAGATCCCAGACGATCACCTGTCTGGATGTGAGATTTACCCAGAGGCTGATTCTCCTCACAGAACCATTGTCAGACCTGAAGGAGCCGGACTCCCAGAGACCGACTTCCTGCTTTACGTCACCGTGCACACCACTGATAAATGCAGAGCCAAGGTAAACGCTCAGATCCTCCACGTCACACGTCTGAAGAGGAGTCASATTATTTCTCATACAATTAGACCAAGTTTTTCTATCTTTAAAAACCAACAAACTGAAGTTGTATTAATCATGTATTTCATTGTTAACGCGTTACAGTCATTGAAGCCAGTTCTCAAGTCTACATGAATAAAATGTTGTTGCAGCAGTTTAGTTTTTTTATTGTGTTAATGCTGATCCAGAGTTCGCTGTTTCCTGTATTTATTTTTATTTTTCAGTACATTTTTTGCAATAACTACTGCTGCATACTCTGGTACATTTAGCTCCATTGGGAGCAACATACTGTGGTTTTTAGTATGTAGAACTTTGATATTTTTGAATTATTTCACTTTATTTACAAAAAGAAATCCCCCACAGAAAGAAAACAAGATTTCTTTCAAATCATCTCAAATTCTTTCTTTAATGYCTTTTTATGCTATTTTCAGCAACAGTTTTGCAGATTTTAGGCAAATTTTAGCTGCTGTTCTTGTTCAGTCATTCAGCATTCACAATTCTCTAGTTGTGAGTAGTTTCTCTAGGTTTTAAGAGTTTCTCTAGTTTTCAAGGGTTTCTCCAGTTTTTAAGTTTTTCCAGTTTTTAAGAGTTTTTCTAGTTTTGAGTAGTTTCTCTAGTATATAAGAGTTTCTCTAGTTTTGAAAGTTTCTCTAGTTTTGAGTAGTTTCTCTAGTTTTTAGGAGTTTTTCATTCCTTCCTGCAGCCTAACGTGTTGGCGTACGCCRTCCACTGTCAGACGGACCATGGAGGACGACCTGTGGCGGGTGTGGTGGTCCTGTGCAGGGACAGACTAACAGGAGTTACTTACAGCCACCAGACCACAGTACAGGTTTGAATCATTTACAGGAAGTGATTTTTTTTCTTAACAGTGAAGATGAGTCATATAAACTGTTTTTCAGACTGTGATCCATGAGCTGCTTCATGCACTYGGCTTCTCTAAAGATCTCTTCAGCACCTGGCGAGACTGTCCATCATATCAAGGTGTTTCAGCGCATTTTGTTCAAAATCCTTTCATTCTGTTACTTCATAGGACTAGCTTTACGAACAAATGAGCAGCTGTAATTTTTRTTTTGGTTGTGAGTTTATTGGAGCAAAAATCTAAAAAACAAGCATTTTTCTATAATCCTGCATGAAGGTGGTGCTCTTTGTTCTCCTCGAGGTAAAGTGGTTCACTCAGATGTGTCAGGACAGGTGAGGGTTTACACTCCGTCCATCGTCTCAGCACTGCAGAAACACCTGGGCTCCAGTGATCCAGAACTCGGGGGTCCTCTGGAGAACCTGGTACTGAGTGATTTAGATCCATCAACCTCTGCTTCACGTTCCCACACGCCTGATTCTGTTGTCCTTCAGGACTGGTCTGCAGGCAGAGGCTCCTCTCACTGGGAGTCCCGGGTCCTGCAGGGGTCCATCATGACGGCAGTGCTGGGGGATCCCACCACAGTCCGAATCGACCCGGTCACCTTAGCCGCCCTACAGGACACAGGATGGTATCGAGTCAACCAGAGCCTGGCACAGAGTCTGGTCTGGGGAGAGGGTAAGAGACAACAGACACACACCACCATCACACATTAGCTGATCTTCCATGAGAACAAGCTGAGAGGTAAATGTTCCAACAGGTGAAGGAGCCACGTTTGGGTCTCTGTCCACCTGCAGAGACAACTYCTCCTTGTTTTTCTGCACCGGCAGGTCAAATTCTCATCAAGACTTTGAGTTTTTCCAAATAAATCCATTAATTTGTGTGTTTCATACATTTTTTAGCCTAATTGTTTGYGTTGTTCTTTCTTTCACAGTGGAGTTGGGTGTCATTTTCTTCACCTACACAAGGGGAAGTGCCAGACTGACCCATACCTGGAGGGCTGCCGGATCTTTAAACCCATCCAGAACAAGGTGAGTGGTGATGATGATGATGATGATGATGATGATGATGATGATGATAAAATAATAATAATAATAATATGGTTAGTTCAATAACTTTTTCAATAATAAATTCAGAATCCGGTTCAAAAATCCTGGTCCTCACCTTCAGAGCTCTTCGTGGCCAAGCACCTGAATACATTAAAAGTCTCATTTCACCTTACAACCCCAGACGAGACCTCCGCTCACAGGATCAGCATCTCCTTATGGTTTCCATCACTCGCTTTAAGACCTGTGGTGACCGATCCTTCTCCTCTGTGGCCCCCAGGCTCTGGAATGAACTCCCTTTTAATCTGCACTCCCTTGATAACATTGTCCCTTTCAAGACACTCCTAAAAACTCACTTTTCTCTCAAGTGTTTAGCTAACCATTTCACCATTACTGCCAGCCTACCTCCATTGTGAATGCTCGCCAATCTGTTTTTCTTTTATTATTGAACTTACGCCACATTTTTCTCTCCCACATTCATTATGTTTTTGTATTATTGTATATTTTGAACTGCATTGACCTTGTGTTTGATTTACAATTTTAAAAAGTAATCTTGATTTGATGTTTCAATTTTCGTTGCTTATGTTTAATTATGTTTTTCTGTTTCATTTTGATCTTTCCACCATTTTTATACTGTTAATGATTGTACAGCACCTTGTGAATATATTTCTGTGAAAGGCTCTTTATAAATAAAACTTTACTTAATTACTTAACTTTTAGATGCTGAAAATGATTCACAGGTAGGTTATGTTTTAAACTTCTTAACATATCTTCACTATTACAGTTTTTTAATGATTTTTCCCTCCTGTTCAGAGTGAATGTTGGAAAAAGGAAAATTTCAAAGAATCAGCTGAAGGAAGTGGGGAGATATTTGGCCTCGACAGTCGCTGCTTCTTCTCCAGCCTTGTCAGACAGGTGTGTGTGTGTGTGTGTGTGTGTGTGTGTGTGTGTGTG